GAAACTGACTCACTTCACCATTTCAGGTACAACGGGGAGGTACCGGAATTAGTAGAGAGAACATGCCCTTGAAGTCTGAAAAGGCCCTGCTTGAATCCTGCGACAGCATTTACTAGCCGTTAAACGGACCAATTCCTTAACCCCTCTGAGAAGGCTTCCCAATCTGCAAAATGGGGCTGCCACCGCCCACCTGGGAGGCATGGATGTGAATGCAACACGCAAGTAGGGCGGCCGACTGGTACCTGGCACGGGGCCTGGCTAGTTTCAATCCGCTGCCCTTCTCCCCTTTTAAACTTGCACTGTTCCCCCTGGTAAGGGTTAAGCCCCCGGAACAGACTGCCCAATTCTTCTGTGTATCCCCGGATACATACCTTACCCTTAGGCGGCCAGAAAAACAACTGCCTCCTCCCCAGTCACTATCAACGTTCTTAAGAGTCTGGGTTTTTTTAACTCTATGTTGCAGGGAGACTATTCCAGAATTGTTCAATCACCTTTATCCAGGTTGGCTCCTCTCCCAGCGCCCATCCCTTCTCACCTCAAATCTTCTGTCTGATTGCCTTTTGTTCGTGGGAAAGAGAGTCCGCTAGGGTGCGGACTCCCTAGGCCTCCCTCCCTTCCTCACAGGAGTGTGTGACTACCTTCTCCCAACTCCCCACTGAGACTCCAGCTTCTGAGGAGGTTCCCCTCCTTGACCCTGCAGCCTCTGGATCGTCCCAAGATGCGCACACGTGGCCACAACCCTCCCTTCAGATTTCTTCCTGGGTGGCCCTGCCCACCCCCCAGAACCTTAAGGATAAATGCCATTTCTCTGAAAATCACAAATGCCGCTGACTGACACACCAAAGCTACATGGTCTGGGCTTTCCTCCAAACCAGGCACAGCCCTGCCCCCCCTCAGCCACAGTTTGCACCTCTTGAGATGAGCTCATCCACTTGCACGGCTGTGAGCACAAGCTAAGAATGACGAATCCCAACGTGTATCTCTAGTCCGGCTCCTTCACCTGAGCCCCAGGCTCATAGACCCGAGTGCCTCTTGGAAGTCCTAACTTGGATGACAAATGGCATCTTAAAAATGCCTTATGTCAAAAAAAAAAAGCCTTATGTCCAACATTTATTCTAGACTTCGATTCCTGGCAGGTACCTCCCAGGCTCCCCATTTTAGTAACAGCCCCAGCACCCACCTAGGTGTTTGAGGTCACATTCAATTTCCACTGTTCCCTCCACCTGGCCCTGCCCTGGAATCAGTCTTGTCATTTCTGTCGCTAAGCCAGTCTCAAGTCTGGTTCTGCAGGGACCAGGGACGGAAACCCACAAGCTCACAGCAAGGTGCACTGAGTCACAGTCTTCCGAAGGGAGCTCCCTGGAGGGGGAGACATCTCCTGCCGCCGGTCACCTCAGAAGGCACTGGATTCTCATAAAGGAGGACCAGGAGAAGGGACTCAAGGATCTCCCGTGGTCTGAGCTTTGAAGGGTCCGAGGTCTGGGGGAGCTCCTAGTTAGCTGACATTCCTGCCAGTGAGCAGATGAGGATGGGGGAACCCAGGCAAGGCTATTCTCGCTCCAATCCCTGGTCTCTCGGGAGCCAGGGAAAGGCCTGTTTCCTTGGCACAGCCCGGCCATCACAGATCCCAGCCTGCATTTGCCAACCCAGACAGCCTAGACTCCTACTTGCGACCCTTACTTCTGTTCTGTTCCCCCCCAGAATGTGATGGACTCTTTCAGAAAGTCTGGCCTGTCTCAAGCGAGACCAAGTCAGTGAAGGATGAAGTGTCCACATTTGGACCAGAGCATGAAAGGAGAAACAAGGCCTCATGGCCAGCATGACGGTGGTGGCCAAACCCTTCCCCTGGGTGAGATGAACCAGGGTCGGGGTGAGAATGCAAGGTCCCTTCACGGCTGACAGGGGTGTTGGAGACTCATTACCGCAAAATAACTACATGGCCGTCAGTGGTGGACATCAGCTGCAACAGACACAGAGTCAGCTATTTACGCCAAAAAGGGGCAAAAGTAAAGGCCGATGCAGGGAGGCCTACACGGCTGCTGAGGCAAACCACAGACCCGGCTCTGAACGCCCACTGGCTGAAGAAGAGAAGAAGCTTTGGTCCCCGTTAGCGGTCCCTGTGTCCACCAGATCCAAGTGAACCAGCTACTTAGGAGAAGGCCATGCTGTCCTGATACTTAGAAAAACCAGCCTCATAAAGGGAACAAAAGAGTGGCATGGATTTTAGACCTGTTCCTGCCCCTCTATGAATGCAAAGTAAAGTAAATGGAACTGGGAAGGTGAATGCAAAAAAAACCAAAAACAAAAAACAGATGACTGCTTCCTCCAACAGCGTCCCCTGCAGCTGCTCACCCCCGAGCCGGCCACTCCCTCACCAGTGATCGCCGGCCAGGAAGCGCTGTCACGCACGTCACACAGTGACAGCCAGGAACCGCATGCCGAGCACGTTTGTGTAAAAGCCAGAATCAAGCAAGGTGCTGCAGATTTTGACTTTCCAAGTTCAAATACTCCATGAAAAAAATCCCTCAGCAGCCGCCTAAATCAATTCGCATCTCACTTCTTCAAAACAAATAAACAAAATTAGTAAGAGCG